ATGCAAAATTAGATTTGTGCTCATTTTCAAAACGAGACAAAAGTTCATTTAAATATTGATCTTTTATTATTAATAATAAAAATAAATTTTCTTTATTAATAACAATACAATTAATAAATAAATATTTATATTACAGAAACAGCAATAAAAGCAGTTTTGTGTGCAATGAATACAATGTGACCGAAAAAATAAATGCATCAAAAAGTTGTTAATTATTTTCAATGAATAATAACTGTAATAAGAGATGAAGTTTTTTATGACACGATTTACGGATCATTTACTGCCAGTGGTCCTCAATATTCAACCAAATCCATGAATGTAATAATCGCTTGACCTGTCGTTATTAATATATATGACTTCTTGAGCCGACGGATCTACTTGGCTATCGACCACTTCTTTCAAACTAATCTAAACATGTATTTGTCATCCGTTTGGCGGTCAATGAAGAGCCGTATGCTCTTCGTGTTGGTGTCGTTGAGTTGGCTTTTATTGATATTCTTCCTCTTGAATGTGAGTTCAGTGCAAAGACTGCCCGAAGAGACCAATACAGTGCAAGTGGACAACAGATACGCCAAACTCAACGACAGACTCAATGAGGCCAACCGTCAGATTGAGCTCCTGATGGAGCAAAACAAGCATTTGGCCCAAAACCTCAAGACTTTGACCGATCTTAAGGTGAATCCGCAAGAGTTGTCGGTCGAGAGACCGGAAGCCGTGAAAGTGAAGGACGCGTTGGCATTGAATGCATTTCCCGGCACTCCGTTTGAGACGTCTTTGAGACGCGTCCGACAGAATGTGGACGAGATTTGGCACTACTTGAGGACCAAAATGGATAAGAAGTCAATGGGTTTTGTGAATGACTTGCGATACAACATGTTCTACGAATTGGATGTATTGAGTGATAGAGACAATCGGTGGCGAAACCAAGAGCTCAAGAATTTAAGTGATTTCGTCCAGAATCGGATTCATAGGCTCCAGAATCCGAGTGATTGCGAAAACGCCAAGAAATTGGTTTGTGATCTGAATAAGTACTGCGGCTTCGGCTGTCAGATACACCATTTGGCCCATTGTTTTGTGGCCGCTCTGGCGCTCAACCGGACTCTCATCTGCGATACGCAGGACTGGCGGAGCTCTAGTGGTGAGCAAAATGTGTGGAACAAACTCTTTCAGCCAATTAGTCAAACNTTTGATCCGTTGGGCAAATGACGGACGCATTCCGTACCAGAACTGCATGACATGTTTGCCCGAAGAGTGGCTTTTCATATCCAATGACTTTCATACGTTCACCTCTTCATTCATTCCCTCCTATCAGACAATCAACACATTGTCGGCAAAGATAGCCAAACATATCGGTGTGAAGACGTTTCCCAGACCTAACTTAGAGAATCTGTTGATCAGATTTGCCAAAGACTTGAATTTACCCAAAGATATAGTTTCGGTGATTGAAAACAATTACAATCTTTACGAACACTTTTCGAGTAGATTAGAGCGAATGGCTATTAATATGCGTAAAGTTAGCACATTTCCAGCCTATGAGAGATGGGCTCTAATGGCTATCGTTTTGGTACTCAAACGCATATTTCTTCTCAACGACTCGTCTGAGAAGCGTTTGAGTCATTACTCAAGAGATTTAAACCAATACTTTAATTGGTATGAATGGGAACAATATTCACGCGTTCGGCTCGAGTTGATTACGTCTTATACCACATCCCTGTATGGCTGGTGAGCTATGATTGACATAATTGTGGTTTGTTTTGTTATTAAATGATATTTGAATGCAATTCTGTAGCAAATTTGAAGATATAAAAGATGTGGATGTGATTGTCGAGCATTCGCTTAAACGCTCTGATTATGAAATGACAAAAACCATTGAATGCATCAAAAGGGGTTCGTAAGACTTAGTATTGATATTTTTAGTTTAAATCTAATGAATTGTTTGACTTATAGGTTATAAATACTATGACTTTCGGCAAGATTTGCGACAGGAGTATAAATCTTTGCTTCTGAATGAAAACGACTCTCACGACAGTCAGTCGACTGAATCAGTCTATCATTCATTATATCCGTTAACGACTGCAACAGAATTGGCGTTAAAACGGGTCACTTCTCCCGCTGTGAAGGAAGTGTTGTCCACTAATTTTGAAGACAAATCACTGAGCGGTTGGACGTGTAGTCACGGAAAGGTATTTCATAGAGGCTATGATTTCTTACACAAAGATCCCAAACAGTGGTCCTCAACGTTCAAACTGCTGATCCGTTTGAGTTGTATAATACTCTGCTGTCGGACCAAAGATCTCATACCAATCATCAATAGAATGGAAACAATATATTTCAGTAATAAAAGCATGAAAAAGAAATTTAAACGTTAATTAACTCACAATTAGCGGTGTTTACTGTAATGTGAATTGTACTCAATGTTCTGTTTGGCTATATATTTGGTTAATTTAATTTACGGAATTTTACTATTTATTTAATGAAAATATATATCTTTTAATTTCCTATTATATTTGTATTTATAAATTAATGAAATGACATTTTAAGAAAGTAGAAAAATTAGTTTCAATTAAAAACAAACATATTATGAATAAATAAAAATTCATTTGAAAACATCACTAGAAATGGCATTCAATTCGTTAAATGAATAGATTATTAAAAGCAATACTAATGGAAAGCAGCGAATGGTTTGGATTCAACAAATTCGGTGACTTTGAAACGAGGGTAAAGACCCTTACGTTTAGTCCGATTGTGATCTCCGGTGTTATACCCGTTGTGTTCGTTGCGTTCAATTCCCAGTATATCTCCCGCATTGAAACTGATTTCTCGCTTACTTTGCGCCGAATGACTGACTATAGCTTTCTTGCCGTGAAATACCTGTCCATTAAATAATCATTTGAATAATGTATGTCTCCACAATGTATACAAATATACTGTATAAGCATTAGTGCTCAACACATACCTGACCGCCGAAATAATAGATGTCGTCGAGTGAATAAAATGCTTGAGACATGTCTTGAGTGGACGAGTGTCTGGTTTGCATCAACTCGAAGGCCATCCGACAGATCTGGGAACTGAATGTGCAGACAATGTAATCGCATTGACTTAGAAGTAGAAGATCGACGACAACGTCGTGGAGTGACTCAAATTCTTGCCGCTGTGAGGGGTCGGCGCTCTGCGACAGCTTTATGTCGCCCTTAAATACATAACCCCTTTCCTGATAGGGTTTGATCTCTTTGAGCCATACGTTCGGCTCATCGGTCGCCAAATATACTAATCGTTGAGCCTTTTTGTTCGCCGATTGTCTCACACTCTTTAAGTCGAGCTTATTATAGAAGTCTTCGACATAAAACATATACTCATCGATGGTATGGAATTTGGCTTCGGTTCCGATTTTATCGGTCCGCCGGACGTGTATACCAACGATCGGATGACTGAATTGATTGTCTCTCTTAAATGTGTCCATGAATTGACTCAATTGGTCGGACGGACGCAACATATACTTCAGCACATTTCCGATGAACCAAATGAATGGTTCGCCGCTCTGTCTAATCAGTGGATCGGCTATTTGTTGCGGTATAACGAGTGGCAGAAACTCGGGTAACGGTGTTATGTAGTCTATTATGGGATAATACATGACTTGATACGAGTGCAAGCGTTTATCGTCGCCCCAATCGGTGCGGTTGTGACCGTTCGGGTTAACACATGTTTGACTAATTGGCTGAAAGAGTTTGTTCCACACATTTTGCTCACCACTAGAGCTCCGCCAGTCCTGCGTATCGCAGATGAGAGTCCGGTTGAGCGCCAGAGCGGCCACAAAACAATGGGCCAAATGGTGTATCTGACACCCGAAGCCGCAGTACTTATTCAGATCACAAACCAATTTCTTGGCGTTTTCGCAATCACTCGGATTCTGGAGCCTATGAATCCGATTCTGGACGAAATCACTTAAATTCTTGAGCTCTTGGTTTCGCCACCGATTGTCTCTATCACTCAATACATCCAATTCGTAGAACATGTTGTATCGCAAGTCATTCACAAAACCCATTGACTTCTTATCCATTTTGGTCCTCAAGTAGTGCCAAATCTCGTCCACATTCTGTCGGACGCGTCTCAAAGACGTCTCAAACGGAGTGCCGGGAAATGCATTCAATGCCAACGCGTCCTTCACTTTCACGGCTTCCGGTCTCTCGACCGACAACTCTTGCGGATTGACCTTAAGATCGGTCAAAGTCTTGAGGTTTTGGGCCAAATGCTTGTTTTGCTCCATCAGGAGCTCAATCTGACGGTTGGCCTCATTGAGTCTGTCGTTGAGTTTGGCGTATCTGTTGTCCACTTGCACTGTATTGGTCTCTTCGGGCAGTCTTTGCACTGAACTCACATTCAAGAGGAAGAATATCAATAAAAGCCAACTCAACGACACCAACACGAAGAGCATACGGCTCTTCATTGATCGCCAAACGGATGACAAATACATGTTTAGATTAGTTTGAAAGAAGTGGTCGATAGGCCAGTAGATCCGTCGGCTCAAGAAGTCATATATATTAATAACGACAGGTCAAGGGATGATTACATTCATGGATTTGGTTGAATATTGAGGACCACTGGCAGTAAATTATTAAATGATCCGTAAATCGTGTCATAAAAAACTTCATCTCTTATTACAGTTATTATTCATTGAAAATAATTAACAACTTTTTTGTGCACTTATTTTTTCGGTCACATTGTATTCATTGCACACAAAACTGCTTTTATTGCTGTTTCTGTAATATAAATATTTATTTATTAATTGTATTGTTATTAATAAAGAAAATTTATTTTTATTATTAATAATAAAAGATCAATATTTAAATGAACTTTTGTCTCGTTTTGAAAATGAGCACAAATCTAATTTTGCATATTTTAAATATGTGTTAAATATTTTACACTTACTGTATAGCAGTAAACAATGATTGTTATAATGATATGAGCAAATTGAAGGAATAGCTAGATGATTTTTCAAATATCAATAGTATTTTCAATTTACAAATTAAAAATAATTATAAAATCACATTTGATTCACACATATCAATGACATCACCAAAAAGATTACAATTATAATAAATTGATGTCTAATTGAGTGATGGCTTGTATTTGTCAAAACTCAAGGATATCTTACAAATATTATAATGAAGTATTCCGTAAATATTGAATCACACTTTTCCCGATGTATTTCATAGGAAAAAATTGTTTGCATAACTGTTTTGTGTCTCGTAAATGAATTATTGGCTAATGAAACGCAAACACATCCACACAATGCTTAACAGCCAAAACTTTTTTACATTAAATTGTTTTCACATTTATTTTTAAATTATCCAAAAATACTATTTCTTGTGTTAAATAACTAAAAACAAAAATAGTTTCTCTGATAAGAGCACTGTATTACTGAAAGGGAGAAAACAATTTTTATTATTATTTTTGATTTTCACTTTAAATGAACGGATATTCAAGTGTCAGATCCTGTAATAGGAGAGCGCACGGGTTGAACACATTTCATGTATGATTTTTATATAACTTTTTTCAAAATTTAATATTAATATAATATAATATGTCTGGCATTCAAACGTTTCTTGTTATATGAGAGAGAAAAAAGTTGACGGACTTTACGCTAACATATTATGACATGAACTGAAATTTGACACAAAACAAGACAAGCAATACCACCGATATATACACCGAAACTAAAATCATATTATATATAATGGGAGGCAATAAATTTGGGCCAAAATTCACTTTCCGGTCTTTGACTGCTCAGCCCTTTCCTACACTTCAATGGTTACGAATAAAACACATCTTATTAATAGAGAAGGCATCCAAAAGATAAGCCAAACAATACATCAATTAGTGTTATATGTCGTTAATATCGACGCAAGAAAATACATGAACCGATTCTTTGGTCTATTTAGCGAGTGTTTGTAATTATCACTGAAAGTGTGCCTTCAATACAAACACTTACAACACATAAGTCTCTCATAAACACATGCCTTATAAAGTAATGAGGACTTTGAATGAGCCGTAGGTTTTTGTTAGATATGATATAATAAGAATTAATTAAAAGTACAATTCGTTTAATACTTACATTAACTCCTTATTCGACACATTTGTTGAGTTTTTATATAATCTTTTAATAAATGTAAAGAAAACCTTTAACTTTAAGTTTGTCTTAAAAGAGATATGCGTTTAGTATTAGGAAACATTTGGCAAAGAAATGTTGTACAAAACTTTTCAATTGTTATAACTGAGAAAAAACTTTTTTCTTCTTTTTCACTCAACAGGTTTTACTGTTTTTTGCACTTTTTTGATAATGAAAGACAATGTTTGGCGAAAAATAAAAATTAAATTTTTAAAACTTAAAGTCAAATAATAGGTTATTTAGTGTCGGATAGTGTTTTTGGGAAACTTAAACGTCGTTTCTCTCACACACTCCACACAAACCACACAAGAAATATGTTTACAAATAGTATTTCTTTAGACACTTATATTAGCATAACTTCTCTCCATATTTGCCAATCGAGACTACATTTTCAATTGGAGTTAATCTCCGGTCGATCAGCACCTGAGACCTGAGAGCACCTGAAAAATGTTGCTGTGTTTTGGTAGCCTTCAGCTCAATTGACACAAAACACTGTTTTTAAAACTTTGGCAAATAATTTACATTCATTTGATTTAGTCTTCAAGTCAAGAGTTAAAGGTATTTTAAATGCAAAGCAAACGCAATGCTAATAACGTTACCTGTTTTTTGCAAACCATAGCACAGACTACGAGTTATCACAGTTTTCCTGTTTATGATACTTCTCTCTCTCTCTCTCTCTTTCGGCGTATATTTATAGCCCAATCGTATCCTTAAATTATTTTCATGTATTTATTAAATAAATTATTAGTTCATTACATTCAACATCTCTTCGCATGTCTAACATAAATGTGTCACTTATTTATGACTTCAAATACACTTATATTTAATTATTCTTCGCAACGAGTTTTGTGTTGTCTATAATAATATTGATATAAATTTTAATTAAAAGTTCAATAAAAAATATCGTAAATATTCTCTCCGTTGAAGTCATGAAAACATATATAAATATCAATATATTTTTATTATAAAAAAGTTTAATTTATACAAACCTTTTATATCCTTTTCATATATTATATTATTTTATTTTAATAAATAATTTATTCTTCAAATCGCTTACGAATAATACATTTTGCAATTTTTAAATATGAAATTCAATGTAATTTATTATTTGAAGACAAAAATTCATTGCTATTACTGTATTATCGTAAGTGTAAAGCAAACTTAAGATTGAAATTATTTAGAAAACAATAAAAAAAATTGTAAAATATTGGGTTTTTCACTGCTATTTTGTAGTTATAAATAAAAAGTAAATTTAAAAGTATAATAATTAACATAAATTCATAATTCATTAAACAAAAGCGTAAAAACTTGTTGTTTGAATGTTTAGAAAATAAACATTTAAAGTGTAAAAAACTTTTTCTTAATTATTTCAAGCGTTAAATCTATAATTTATAAAATTTTCACGTTTTTAAAAGTCAGTATAAAAAAGTGTGTCCTTTAAATAATTTTTGGTGTTTATAATTATTTGTTGAAAATCTATTATAATGTGTACATGTATTACATACAGTATAATTGTCTAGAAATATTATTGTTTGTATTAAACATTTGTTATTTTTAAAAATAGACTGAAATAAAATATTGAATAAATATTATTTTTAGAAAATATTATTTGTTTAGATTATGGATACGTCTATACATTGAATGCCATTAATATAAAATTGTAATATAATATAAATGTAATATAACTGTAAATGATTTAATGGTTTGAGTAGAAATGGTTAATGATTTAATTTCAAGTTCATAGCTCTTGAATATTAAAATAGTTGCACCAGTTTTTGAAATTTAATTTTATTACTTTATAAGCGGTAATAAATTTAAATAGGACATGATTGTTTAATGTCAACCGTTTGATTTGTCCAGGTGCTTAATCAAATAATTACGTGAGTATCAAATGTTTGCCAAGTTTTCGCTGAAAGTAATATGAAATTAAAAGTAATTGCATCTTAACTAAAATTTGCAATTAAAATAGTTGTTAATTAAAGGTTAAAATGAATATTAAAATAGTTGCACCAGTTTTTGAAATTTAATTTTATTACTTTATAAGCGGTAATAAATTTAAATAGGACATGATTGTTTAATGTCAACCGTTTGATTTGTCCAGGTGCTTAATCAAATATGCAAGGTCTATTATTAACAGATTTAATGTATAGTTGACATTCAAACTGAATCTTGTATATTTTAATTATTTTAATATTCATTTTAACCTTTAATTAACAACTATTTTAATTGCAAATTTTAGTTAAGATGCAATTACTTTTAATTTCATATTACTTTCAGCGAAAACTTGGCAAACATTTGATACTCACGTAAAATATAATGTTATCTTATAATTAATTTTATTTAATAACTAAAATTTATAAAAGCTATAAAATTGTTTCATATTTCCTGAACACAAATGTTTATGCATTTCACATAAGTTTTGGCTATAAAATGCTGAAATTATTGAATTTTATTAAAAAAAAAGTAAAATACTTTTAAATATATTTAGTAATTAACTCTTTTTTATATTTAATTTTCTTGTTTCTGCACTGTTTATATTAGTTATGCAATTATTTTTTGTATTATAACTAATGATTCGTGAAAATAATGAGTAATTTTACAATTTTTTCATAACTTTTATTTGAAGAAAAATAAGTCAAAACTTGTTTTTAGGGTCGAGTCTAACAAATAATAGACTCGAAAATATAAACACTATTATTGATAATGCATTCAATGATTTGTCACCCAATAGTGAGACTTCAAAACTTCAATTACATTATTATTTGATATGAAATAACCATTATATGAGTTGCCATTAGATTGTATTTGACTTCTTGTCATTAAAGCACATTAAAGACAAATACATCAAAATATATTTGACATAAATCTGTCTGTACAAAAAAGCTCTCTCTCTCTCTCTCTCTCTCTCTCTCTCTCGCTATCATTACATTCACTCTCTTTCGACATAAATTACTAAAAGACTTGTGAGATTGAAAGAGATAGAGATAGAGCACAAACACAGGTGTAATTCAAATAGTTATATAATTTAAGGGACAATCGTTGCAATCAGTTTCGTATGTTTTTGCCAGAGACTAGACTCTCATGTATTGTCGAGATTGTAGGCGCAGTTGAAGTGGTAATAGTTGGGACGGGTATTGGGGTATGTATTACCTCAATGACTGACTGGTGCCCAAACTCTGTCCCCGCTATCGGTTTAATCAAATGTTTTTTATGAAAGTTTTCTAAGAAATTCATTCAATTATCAAAACATTGAACTCAAAGAAATTTACTGAAAAACATATCGTTTTATACAAAAATAAAAATAAAAACTTCGTTAATGTTTTAGCATTATATACATTTAAAGTGGTGTTAAATTAAAATATAAATCAAACTTTTTTGCTTCTCTTGTTTTTAAAATTATTTCATTTTGAAAAATCTGATAAAAGCTATACAATATTTTTTGAGGCAATTTATGGTAAAGTATAGGACATTAAAATTAACTTAAAAGTTGTGAATTATGGATGAAATAAAAAGCAGATATTCTCATAATTTTATTGAAAAGGTTGTCATAAAATATCATTATTAATCACTTTCTTTATATCTTAATAGACATCTAAACTACACTATTATTTAACATTGTATTACATATTTTGAATTACAAACAGATTAAAAAATTACAACAAATATTAAAAGATAAAACATAATTAAAAATGAAACTTAAGAAAGGTTTTAAGAACCATAAAAAATACAATAAATACAGATAATTACAAACAATGGATATAAGTTTGAAAACTGCCGTAAAACTAATGTGGTATTTGAGTAACAAATCTGACTCTACAATATTTAATGGACAAATTGTTTGGGAAATTATTTTTATAGTATAAATCGCGAAGAGCTTCAAAGTAAACGATGTTTCGGTCCGTGAAATATACGGTCATTTTCTTTTGAGGCCTTTTTATGGCCGATTCAACGCACGCTTGAAATATACGGAGAGACAAGAGATCCGATCGCGAGACGTCGACGTCCTCCAGAAGTCCGCACGCGTTGATGACCCGCACGAGTGATCCTTCGCTCAGATCCGGTGATGACGAGAGTTTGATGCCTTTCAGACCAACGAGTCGTTCAATCCATACAATGCAGTCATCGGGTGTTTCGGTGAAGAAGACATAGGTTAAGGCCAATTGTCTGAGTTGTGGCAAATGTCGGACAATAGATTCAATGCAATCGCTGTTCAATATTGTCGACTCGATCTGAAGTGTTGTCAAACTCTTACACTTTTCCAACTGTTTGAATGAGTGGTATGTGAAGAGACAAAACTCGCTTTCGGCGAAAATATGCAATTTTATTAGTTTTGTCAGTTTTGCCACACTTTCTAACAGTCTATAGCCGTCCTCTTCAGTCGCCATTTGATATGAGTTTGAAATCGTCAAACTCTTTAGGTTTTCAAAGTGATTGCCAATTGTTTCTATGGTTGAGATGCCATCGAAGTCGCAAATGTGAAGGTTTGACAAAAAGTCGAGTTTATTTTTGGCTAATCTTTTGATTGATTTCCAATTCAATAGATTTCCCGACACTTTAATCATACGAATCAATGGACTAATTGTCTCGAAATGTCTCGACTGAAGCTCTAATATACTGACCGTCCGATCGTAACTGTGTATTGAGTCCATTATTATAAACACTTCGAGTTTAGTTAATGTCTTCAGCAAATACGAGATGGAAATCGTGGACACATTCAGATCATTGGCTTCGCATTGAAACACACGAAGAGATGCAAACTTCTGACAGAATCTTTCAATTTCTCGGCAATGAATGTAAACTCTGTTTCGGCTAACAATCGATACCTGTTTTAACTTTTTGTCGCATGAATTGGTAATTAAATCCAAGACATTCCTCTGACACTCATTTCCATTCAATAGACAGACATAAATGACTCTTAAATCGGTATAATTCGAGATAATATTGTGAATATATTTCTCGTAATAAACGATTGAATCAAAACAAATCATTTCTCGTTTGCGTCGGATTTGATTCAGATTAATGACAGACATGCGGTCCGAGTCTCTGATGCCGTATATATTAAAGTCTCCCATTTTATGGCATATCTTCTCATTCGTGTCCTTTAATACCAAACATTTGTGTTCTTTGAAGATCTGTTTCACTATTTCTTGCCATCTCTTCGACACCTGTTTAGCCCTTAATAGAGATTTAAAGTCAAGACATTTTAGGATAATAAGCATTAATTCAATTGGCAGTGAATTAATGTCAATCATTTTGATTTAACCACTTCTTTCACACTATAAGCTAACAAAACCAATATAAGTATGAAATTAAAAGATACAATAAAATACACTCGTGTTTAACCCAACTATTCATTAGTTACAAATAGACATTAATTAATTACTATCTCTAAAACTATACAAAATGTGAATTTAAATGTGATTTTTGTATAAAAGTGGAAAAATATTTTAAACGTTAGGCCAAAGCTTTTTTTTTATAAACATGAGTTTTATGTAAGTTTGACAGAAATATTTCATACATTAATATCTGTGAACTAATAGTTGTTGAAATAATGTTCAAATATTTCTACCGTAAAACTAATCATCAATTTATCATATAATCGTCGCATGAATTGTCATTTATATACTGTACTGTTCAGAGATTTATCGTCACTTTTGGTGTTGAATATTATTTTCCACTAATTATTAATGTTTAATCAATAAAAACTAAATATTTAAAACATTTCCATATATTTTAATTAATGACTAAACAAATGATGGAAACAGTGACTGAAAGTCAGTGAAAGTAGTGCTGATATTGAGTCAAAGAATTGGTATAAAAAGGGGATCAGATTTTTGATAGCATTCAGTGACTGTAAGAGATGTGGTAAGTATTCAATGATTATTAATACCAAAATGTTGTATATTATTATATTATGACCCAAAGCTGATGTCCATTACTACCCATAGTTACTCTGGAAGTGGCTCATCAACTCAGCCATCTGTGGCATCGGTGGACATGTCGTGATTGGGCGCCGATGGCAGAGGATCGGTGGACATGAATCCATTGCCACCGGCGCCTAACCACGACATGTCTGTCTCTGCGAACCCGAGCGATGATCCGAATGAGTATCGCAACAGTTTGGGTGAATATATTGCTATTGATTGTGAATATTTAACATAACATTTAGTTACAGCTTGCGATCACAACTGGAATAAGACTGTTATTTAGCGCATACTTTAATGAAACACATTTCTAACAATTGTCCACTCATTTACAAAAAGTCATTAATTGATGACAAACTTGCGGCTAATTGTCTCAATAGGTCCCGTTTCGCGCCAATCCTCTACTACAGGATATTTGTCGTCGGATTCAACCGTTGAATCCGACGACGAATATCCTGTAGTAGAGGATTAGCGCGAATTATTTCAACGCACGACACGGCGTCTATCAATTCAAGTTAAACAACAATCTAACAAAGACTACCGGCGGTGGCTATGATTGGGTCGGCGATGATATCGACCGCAATGTGATTCGAGTAGTGTTTGAGTTCTCAATCATATTGTGGTCGATATCTTCGCCATCCTTTGGAATCGCCGGCCGATGTGTGGGTCCGTCGGAAATGTGCTGAAGTATATGTTGCGTCCGTCCGACCAATTGAGTCAATTCATGGACACATTTAAGAGAGACAATCAATTCAGTCATCCGATCGTTTCGAGTGATGCAAACCAGACACTCGTCCACTCAAGACATGTCTCAAGCATTTGATTCACTCGACGACATCTATTATTATTATTAATTGAATATTTACTAATTTTTCTACTTTTTTTAAAATGTCATTTCATTTATTAATTTATAAATACAAATATAATAGAAAATAAAACGCAATAATTATTTACAAAATATAAATATTTTTATTAATTAACCGTAAATTAAATGAACTAAATATAAAAAAGCGACATTTAGTACATTTTATTATGCAGTAATCATTAAAAATTATTTATTTTGTATATAACTTTCAATTAAATTTTTTGTTTAGTAAATTTTGACAATAAATTGTACAAATTATAATATGATAAATATTTTATTTAATAAAGTTCATTTCTATATAAATTTAATAACGTTTATTTTAAAAAAATTAGAAGCAATTAAAATAGTAAATTTAATATATTTAAGAAAATATAAATTTTAATGAATTAATATTACAAAATGTAGACGTGTTTGCAATTTGGAAATTGATATAAAGTTTATAGTGAAAAGTAATGTACGATTTCTAAAAAACATAAATGTTAATTAAAAAGTAAAAAAGAAAGTAATAATTAAAAAGTAATCACTACTTATAATGGGTGACAAACAATTGCTACTAAATGAGAATAAAATCTCCAAAACTAGCCATAAATATAAGTACGGAACCGATTGGAGGGCCAAATGGTTGCGATTATTATCAAAACCGGAGATATTTTTAATAAACTTCTCGATTGTGGCCATATTTCAGGGCGCGATCTTTAGTTATATGATCGGCTCTTTGAGTACATTAGAGAAGCGCTACTCATTTGACAGCAAAATATCGGGCCTTTTATTAATCGCGGATAATGTGAGTCAAGTCATAATCAGTCCATTGATTGGCTATTTAGGCAACAAATACAACAGACCCCGCATTATGGCTATCGGAGAGTTAGTGGCGGCCTTCAGTTGCTTCGTCTTCGCGGCGCCGTATTTCATATTCGGTGCGTCTCTTCAGCCGATGACTGATATCATAACTAACGCCAACTCCACTCACGAGTTGTGCCATTCGTCTCCATTAGGCCAACCCTGCAATCAAAGCACAGTTTGGTCGGCGGTTACAATCCTATGGATCGCCAGCTTTTTAAACGGTATGTCATATGAAACACACGTTATATTTATGATGATTGCATGTGTTTTGCCAATACAGGTATTGGTTGTACGGCTTTCTATACGATAGGCATACCGTATATCGACGACAACACCAGTAAGAAAAATTCGCCCATATTTTTGAGTACAAGCGCTGCGCTCAGACTGTTTGGTCCGGCACTCGGGTTACTCCTCTCATCATATACTCTCAAATTTTATGAAAACCCTCAGAGTATGTGTTGATTATGACAATTGATTTATTTTAATATTAAAAATATTTTAACATATATTTGCAGTAAGTCTTAACGTGCAAATGAATGATCCAAGATGGATTGGGTGCTGGTGGATAGGATTTATCTTAATTGGTGTATTCCTTATGATTTTCTCCATCCCTTTGGCTTTCTTTCCCACACAGATGTCTGAAAAGCAAAGAGTTATAGAAAATCGCATGAATAGTAAAAGTCAGTCAATTAAATCCCAGATTACGGAGATATTAAGTGCTCTTCACGTAAATATCTATAAATAGTTTGTCTTTGTAGTAGTTATACATTTGATTATACTTTATATTTGTTAGCGTTTGGCCACAAATCCCGTATTTGTGTTTCACGTGTTGGGCATATCGTTTAAATTATTTGGTTATTTAGGTTATTATGTATTTAAACCCAAATATATTGAATCCCAATTCCGGAAGTCTGCCTCAGACGCCAACTTCTGGGCCGGTGTTATAATCATTCCGACGATGGCTTTCGGTATTATTAGTTCCGGATTTTTCTTGTCAAAAATGAAACCAAAGGCCAGAAGTGTAGCCCTATATATATTTGTGGTTGAAATTGTGATCGCGATATCGGTTTTATATGCAAAAACATTTCAGTGTCCGATCCCTATATTCCCGCAAATCAATTCAGTCGACGGAAAGTAATGTTTAATAATTTAGTCGTTATATTTTTGCCTACATTAATAATCACATATGCCTTAAATTTAGATTCAATCAAATGGACACTCGATGTAATGCAGATTGTCATTGTTCACATAATGTCTTTCAACCGGTTTGTTCAAGTAATCAACAGTTTAATTACTTCAGTCCCTGTCATGCGGGCTGTACTCGAGAAGTTGCACATGATACTCACACCAAAAATAAAGTATTTTCATTTATTAATTATCATTTATAAATTAATGCTTAATAATGACACTAATTCTACCTGGTTAATGCTAAATTACATCAAATACTGAATGAGCATAATTATTAAGTAATTTTAAAATATTGAAGGTTTTTCTAAACTGCAAATGCGATCAATTCGGTGGTAAAGTAAGCGATGGTTATTGCGATAAAGATTGCAATCAATTCACATCATATGTGATCTTATTTTCAATCGTTGGGGTCATAACATCTACCGGAAAAATTGGAGACACTTTGATAACATTAAGGTAACTTTTAATTAGTAAAAATTACATAATAAATTAAATTAATCTAATTGGTAATTACTATATTTAATGGATAGATGCATTGAACCAAAGGACAAGAACTTTGCCATAGGAGTGACCGGAGCTTTTCTCGCAATTTTCAGTACGAATCAAATGTTTAGATATTATTCCTAAAATCCCTGTCTCTTATGTCATAGCATTTATACCCTTTCCGCTAATATTTGGTGCCATAACTGACAGCACGTGTAAGATATGGAAACACACGTGCGGTAAAGTAGGCAACTGTTGGCTCTACGATATCGAGAAACTCACTGATTATCTGCATTACTCGGCCTTTGGTTTCATGTTTTTGGGCGCCGTTTGCCGATTCTTTATCGTCTTATACGCCGATCGCATATCAAATATGTTTGAAGACGAGGACGAAGACAATGAAGACCAGACCGCTGTCGCTCTCATTGAAGACCAAAACAATTTTGAGGATATTTTCTTCAAACAAAAATAGTAACCAATAATTGTATGTAAATTATATTTGAATTCATTATAGTTTCCAATTATTTGTTAATAGATTTATGTAATAAATAAGACAATTATTAGACAGAAAAGTAAGAATTATTATGACTTGCTATATGTTAAATGTACATGTAAATGTAATAGTAATAGTAAATGACTGTTTAAATTGATGCTGATCAAATTAATAATTAATTCCATTAAAACACTAAAATTCCACTTATAATTGCAACCTTAAACACCTGAACAGTACACTGCACTAGTGTTACACAAGTATAAAGTTTTATATATATGAATTTGACTCTAACATAATGTACAATACTATTGATTAAGGTTGCCTTTTCATACAATAATTGTAATGAAATGATTCCTAAAACACAATTTAATGTTATATAATATTAGTTTCATAGAAAGCGCTCAAATTGTTTCTCATACAACTATTTGCCACAAATTGTTGTTTTCATTTGTTATTATTGTTAAAATAAAATTATATAATAATAATAAATATTTATATACATTATAATGTTATATACGTATATTAATATTCAGGTGTTGTCATACAAAGTATTTTACAAGTTTTAATAAAAATATAAAATAATTTTTATATAACTTTCAATTGTTAACAAACCAGTAGTCGCTCAATAAATGTGTGATATATTATAGTTATATAACCCGACTATCAATTCGTAAACTTTGATCCCAGATCTCAAGATAAGAGTATTTGAGCTCAAATTAAGTGTATATTTTAAACAATGTTTGCATTCAATGAAACCATTGCTCTGTTTTACTGTCAAATAATTACCTAAACTTAATTGAATTAATCGTGAAAACAATGAAACCCTATTTGATTGGCGTAACACTCGCTCTACAAGTGTTGGCAAACATCGAGACAATCGACTCCTCGATTGAGAGTTCGCTAAAATTGGTTCAAATCATTCAAAGACATGGAGACAGAACTCCGACCAACTTTTACGCCACGGATCCGCTCAAAGACCCAAAGAAATGGCCCGAAGGTATCGGCGAACTGACCAGTAGTGGGAAGAGGAGGGCCTATGAGTTTGGGCTGAGTTTGAGGCACCGGTACGACACCTATTTAGGCGATTCGCCCCGAGATGTGACCGCAAAGAGCTCGTCGTCGGCCCGATGTCTGGAAAGTGTGCAAAGTTTTCTGACCGGACTCTACAAACCCGACGGCTTCTGGATTTGGGACAACACGTCCGCTGTGGCCAAGAATTGGCAGCCAATTGCCGTCGGATCCGATGATAAACTCTTGCGTACGTCCGCCAGTTGTCCCAAAACAGACCGATTGTGGCGACAGTTTATGGCCACCGAAGAAGTGACGAAATATATCAACGAAAACAAGCCATTTATGGTTGGGTTGAGTGAGAAAACGGGTGATAATTATGTGGACGTAAAGCCCTCACCGCTCAGACCTCTCGAGTTTCTGTCGACCACTTTAAGAGTGGAGAAAGAGTGCGGACACGACCTCCCGGAGTGGGCCAACACAGAGACCCGCGACAAACTCAAAGACCTCGAGAATCACGCCTTTTATTTCGATTGGAAAGACCCGAAAATACAGCGCCTGAGAGCGGGTCCTCTCATCGAAGAGTTGGTCCAAAATATGCTCAACAGAGCCGATGAGCTCACGAACCAGACTACAGCCAAACCAATGAAACGGCTATACGTTTACGGCACACATGATGTGAATCAAGTGGTCTTAATGCAAGCGCTGGGCGTTTACACGTCCGCCAAAGTGGGCAAAACTCCGCCGACATATACCGGCTCTTTGGTCTTTGAATTGCATCAATCGGGCGATCATTTTGTGGTCAAACTCTTGTATTTCAATAACGTTACGGTCAGCGCNCATACCGTATATCGACGACAACACCAGTAAGAAAAATTCGCCCATATTTTTGAGTACAAGCGCTGCGCTCAGACTGTTTGGTCCGGCACTCGGGTTACTCCTCTCATCATATACTCTCAAATTTTATGAAAACCCTCAGAGTATGTGTTGATTATGACAATTGATTTATTTTAATATTAAAAATATTTTAACATATATTTGCAGTAAGTCTTAACGTGCAAATGAATGATCCAAGATGGATTGGGTGCTGGTGGATAGGATTTGTCATAATTGGTGTATTCCTTATGATTTTCTCCATCCCTTTGGCTTTCTTTCCCACACAGATGTCTGAAAAGCAAAGAGTTACAGAAAATCGCATGAATAGTAAAAATCAATCAATTAAATCCCAGATTACGGAGATATTAAGTGCTCTTCACGTAAATATCTATAAATAGTTTGTTTTTGTAGTAGTTATACATTTGATTATACTTTATATTTGTTAGCGTTTGGCCACAAATCCCGTATTTGTGTTTCACGTGTTGGGCATATCATTTAAATTATTTGGTTATTTAGGTTATTATGTATTTAAACCCAAATATATTGAATCCCAATTCCGGAAGTCTGCCTCAGACGCCAACTTCTGGGCCGGTGTTATAATCATTCCGACGATGGCTTTCG